TTTTTTTTTTTTTTTTTTTTTTATAATTTCATCCATCAGAATAGTTTGTCTAGATAGAGAAAAGTAATTACATAGCATAAATTCTACTACCCTATATGAGACAACAAGGTACACTTAGCTAAATTACATTATCATCTATCCACTGCCTAAGACAGAGAAGTCCACTAGTACTCCAATATAGTATTACTACTTCTATTTAGGCAAGGCATCAGTGGTAATACTTTCACAAAAACTTAGTGTGCCTGTTGTTTGTTTAATGTTGAACATAAGGAAAAACAAAGCCAAACCCAAACATTATTCTAAATCTGATTTTTCTCCCTACTGGAAATAATCAGACTATAATCAGGAATGATACAAGAAAAGCAGCAACTATCAATATAGCATCCTCCCAATGAATCATGCATGGCATCATACAGTTATGAAACCAAATCACTTAAAAATAACATCTACTAAAACAAAGTAATTTTAGGATTCATGAACAGTTCACAAAACTACATAGTGGATTAACAATTTAGGCATGCATAATGCATATTTAGAAGGCTTTTGAATCCATAAAGAGACAGGGCTAAAGTCCTGATCAGCATTCCCATCATCATTCTGAAAATGCTGGACCAGATTCTCTAGTGCATGAAGCTTCAGCTTGCTGTAAAAGAGGCAAGCTGTCAGGATGCCAGTTACAGCTCCCTGATTCTGTACTGCCTGAGCACTGGCAAAGATCTGATTCAAGCCAGCTGGCTAAGGTTCAGGAGAGGCTATGCACCAGCTGCATGCTCAGCATGCTTCAGCCACACCCATTCCCTGCCCCACCTACCCTCCTCCTGAGGCTGAAGGGATGGCGATAGCTCAGTGCCAACTATGCTAGCTCATCTACAGCTCCTCCTTTGCACTGGCTGAAATCTCACCTGGATACAGCTCACTGCTTTATGGTCCCTTTCCACCAATTAAGTGTCATAAAGGCTAGGGACAGAAGTTACACATAAACCGGTTTAAGTGATCAGAAACTGGTTTAAACCTGTAACAGAACATAAGTTCAGTGCGCATAAACCAGTTTAAAAATGGCCAAAATCAGTTTGAGATAAACCTGGTCGATATCAGACTTAACTGATTGAGGTCAAACAGGTTTACAGAACTTCTGCCCGAGACTCTTCCTGCTTTAAGTTAAATTTGAGTCCCCCAGC